ACTGCCGTAGATCGGTTAAAGGTGAAAACAGAAAGATAACAGTTGAACATCCTTGCCCTACCATGTCACTAGAGAGGAGCAAAACGCAAAAACTGAGTAGGCGTAACGTTTCTCACGTTTAGAAAACGTGGTACCAGCACAGATAAAACAAAAAAATAATAATCTCGTCGAAAAAGACTGGAACGACAAATGTGCAAGCCCCGGTCATAAATCCCTATTTATCTTCAGCCTCGATTTGCAGAGCCAACACAAATTGAGACGCTGTAACGTTCTGACAAGCATATTAGGATTTGCTGAGTCTTCCGTTTCTTTTTTATTTATCCTAATAGGGACACGTCCCCAGGCTACGGTCGAATATAGCTAAACAGAAAGAAAGTGTAACGTTAGCGTAATGCGTACATTGGCGATACGGCAGCGAGTGGAAGGTGCACCGAAAGAAAAGTGAAAACGCATTGGCACGCAGCCAAGGATAAACGCGATACCTCATTCCGATGCATACGCCTCTGGTGATTTCCCCCGACCTCGTTCACGTGGTAAATGAAGCACGAATATTCCAGCCATGCTTTCTAAATGGAGCATGCTCTGTGATGGATCTACGCAAGAGTAAAAGGGTGCAGTAAAAAAAAAAAAGGTTGGAAATTGACATGGCTTTGAAGGCCAAGGTAATATATATCTCGTCTCTCATGCTGCAACACAGGGTGGAATACGTGCGGCTTTCATAGGACATTGATCTGCCCTCGCAGGACCCCAAAGTAGGGTGTTTTAGGCTCCACACTATTCAATCTAGCTCTCGTTGAACTTGAGGAATTTAGATATCACAAGGATGGGCGTATATGTAGACGGCATGCGTGTCTCGACCTCAACCGCTACGTATTCGAATCTATGTGACAGTTCAAAAAGACACAACTGTGACAGCCTCGGCGAACATATATCTTCAAAATTACCACAATAAATTGTACTACCAGCGTCAAATTAAACCCGAACAGCGGCAAGCCTTTGCGGTGGTATTGTGCGTGCCGTCCACTTATCATTACGGACAGGCACGCATATATGCGCAGAGCTACCGATCAGGATGCGCGCGCCTGTCAATGGGGATAACAGGACGACCCGCTACCCTATCGCAAAGGCTCGCTGCTGTTCAGGTTTCATTTGACGCTGATGGTACAGCTGCGTCCTAGTGAGCGTAGAACGCGCAAACAGCCGGCTTTGTAGAGTCACTGCGAAATCTCGGAGTACTGCATAGGTAAGCTCTACGCGGACAACATTGGGCGGTGGCGGTCATTTTTCTTCCTGACCGCCCGGATTATTGTTAGAGCGTTTTGAGAGTAGACTAATCTTGTCACCTCGATGTCATCATATGCTCGCAAAACTAGGATATAAGGGTACTTGCTTTTAAATGGTGGGCGGTAACGTAACAATGGAATATGTGCACGTGTGTTTCTTCAGTATGATATTGAAAGGAGTTTTTGAGTCATTGATTGTTATACGAATCGAGTGGGTGGTAAACGTGCGGCTAACGTTGGCATGCGTTCTCGAACTCTCTTCATATCTTCATTGGTCTCGTTTCGCGCCATGCGTGTGTTCACCAGGCCGGGAGCTGTAAACAAAAATGCATACTCCCAGTGACTTCGTCTGCGACGTTATTTACTTAAGTACTTCGTGAATCTACACGGTTCACGCTCAGCTTCAATTTGTATCCGAACTATCACTGAAGCATACTTTGCTAGCGCACGTTTTTTTGCTGTTCAACTGGATTCTATGTGTAATGGAGGTGGGTTTGTGCACAGTAATTTGAAGTTCTGCGAAACGCATTATTGTCCCAGTTCAGAACGCCAGCAGCCAAACAGAAGAGTGATTTGGTGTGTGATAGGTATGGTGTGCCTTATTTGCAAATACACTTTTGTTTCCCAACCGATTCGCAAAAAATGCATTAAAAATGATTGACATCATAAACTACTGGTTTTCTTTCCGACTTTATATATTTTTATATTTCTACCACGCATGGTTTTTCCAAATATTTTGCTTTGTTGTGTGGAGCAGTATTGTTGATGTTGCCAGTGCGTAAACATCTGAGGTGTAGCAACTGCAATGCTTTAAAATTGAATTTTTTCCATAGTGCACTCCTATTAAAATTTCTTATTTCTGTTTAGAGGAAAAGCGAGCTGCTTTTCCTCTAAACAAGCACAGTGGGAGAAATTTCAAAGCACACGCTAAAACAACAGTTTGTACATATACTTAGTACTCTTGTGGATTCCTCTGCTGAAAGCACTTCCCACAATGCAACGTGTTTGCCAAATTTTTTTTACTGTGACCATTCCCCACACAAAAACAGCATTGAAATGGCACTCTCTGTGTAATACCTATTAGCAACACGTAGTTTTTGTTAAAGTACGCTTGATAACATGACCTGATACCAAGTTTATCCCCAGAGTTATTCACGATCCATTTTCACGCATTGATAGGATCATGCCACAATTGAGGGTTTACTGATGAACAGGTATTATTTTAATAAATCTTGGACTTCTCTCTCATGCATGACGCGCTTACAAAAAGTGCATGTACGATCTGTTAAACATATTCAGATATAAAGAGCCAAACAAATAGGACGATGTGTAGTGTGTAGTTTTTAATGTGGCATGAACGAAGCGATATTGATGAAGTGTGATGTGATGTGTCCTGTCACACGAGAGCTTATTCAACGAAGTTTTTGTATGTTACTGCAGGAACTGGGCGCAACTTCTGCGTCTGACTATGTGGCTACGTAGAACGTCGCTCATAGGCGTCTTTTCTTTTTTCACACGGAACACAATAAACGATATTTACAGATTACATTCCGTTGCTGCTGAGCTACTCTCCGGCTTCTTCATGACGTGTTTGTAAAGCGACGAAGTGTTTGTAGGATGCGTGATGCCGCTGAATGTCCGGCCGAGCTCTGCGTGCGTCGAACACGCACACTCGAGGCGCTTCGAAGGGATATGGTAGTGGGAGGTCACGTGGTGCGAGTGAGCCAATCACATCGGTGGCGGTGTGTGGAAAACAGATTTGATACTCTGAAATATTCCAAGTGATTACATGGCCTAGCTCTGCGGGCCACTTCGTGGCAGTTGTGGACAATGACGGGGTGTGTCCAGGGGCATGCTTGGCCTAATAGACATGCAGACCTGCTCTCCGCGAATGATGGCGTTGAAAGGAGCCCCTGTTTAACTGAAAATATACGCTCCCTTGTGGCGATTATGGCAAAAAGATGAATAGTTTCAACTAATAATACGTGCCTGACTAGGCGCGTGTTATCCGTCTAAACACGTAGAGTGTTTGAATTGAAAGTGTCGAAAGCTCCTTTAGGGATCGTGAATGTTCGGTTAAACAGGCGCACTTTTAAACATTGTCACTCGTGCGAAGCAGGCTTGCATGCTACTGGGTGTACCGAGTCAGAGCCCACAACTGCCGCGAGGTGTCGCCCGTTGGCTAGACCGGCTGCTCGCACGCTCGAAGGAGTCGTAAACGCGCCTGTGCGTATACATGCAAACCAATGTCACCTCATTATATTAAAATTTTGATTGTATGCACTCGGTACCACTTCAAAGTGGCATTCGTATTTTCACTACACTCCTTCAACACTCCTCATTCGACAATTCTTAACGACTTCCAGTCCCTCAACCTATGTCCCGTTTGGCTTGAGATCGCACGATATTTATCACTTGAGTAATAAATAATACCAATAATATTGAGTATTTAACTAAGTAAATATGGGTTATCACACCGTTTTGCATTTGCGCTTCTCATTTTTGTTCAACGTGTTTGTTTAGAAGGTGCAACTGTGTCAACTTTCTTTCGGGAAAAACTGGCTTAGGCACTTTGAAAGTGACTGCCGAAAATGCTGATTAACCGACGAAAAAGGAGTAATCGGCAACTACGATTCAGCAATTAATGGCTAAAGTGGCGAGCGATTAATCGTGAATCCACCTGAAGAATAATCAACCCTTTCTAGCTTACAGGAGCGTTCTGTTCTGTACAATAGGAGCCCACCATAATGGCGTCTCTTATAATCATGTCGTGCGTTAGGACGCAAACATTTTCATATCACTCATATCAGTAGAAGTATTAGAGGTAGTATTAATATTAATTGATATGTGGGGTTTAACGTCCCAAAACCACCATATGATTATGAGAGACGCCCTAGAAGAGGGATCCGGAAATTTCGACCACCTAGGGATCTTTAACGTGCACCCAAATCTGAGCACACGGGCCTACAACATTTCTGCCTCCTTCGGAAATGCAGCCGCCGCAGGTGGGATTTGATCCCGCGACCAGGTAGTATTAATAGTAGTAGTAGTAGTTGTTGTTGCTATAGTAGTACTTATATTATTTATGATACAATCAACTGAGAAAAAAACAATTGAAGAAGATGACATTTGTTTTGGAGTCGTCTCAGGAAAATGCATAAGGGAACGTGGGACTTGAGCACCATCCATCCATATTGACGCACCCTGATGTTCACATTATATAAGCAAGTTTGCGTCAAACTATAGCCTCAGATGTTGTTCTCAGCAGATTTTGCATGCATTTCCACAGAGAAGCTCACAATGGTGAAGACGTCCCGTCTACGTTTCTCCATTCGGGACCGCCGTTGCGTGCGCGCGTGCTGGTGTAGCGCTTTCTCCCAACTGGACCCATCGCCATCGCAGCTATATTCAATTAATCTTGGCAGTGCCATTCAAGACCCGTCCAGCGTCATTTCTGCCTTCCAGCTAACGCTGTGAGAGCACGGGGGCACGCCCGCCTGGCACGGGGCAGTTTGCTCTTTTTGGCAGCGGCGTCGGCACTCTTTGCAGGCCCATCTATCACTCGCCGCTGCCACTGCTACGCCACCCGCACAGCCCGGGGCATCTCACTTGGGGTCGTGAAATATACGTCCTATCCCCATTTCACACCCTCCTCATTTTGCACTGCCACCATCATCACCACCATCATTGAGTGGACACGGTGGCATCGCCGTGACAATGACGCCTGACGTACCGCTGTTCATGCAGGTCCTTTGCGCGTGCCTGCGCTTCATGGCCGGAGGCGCCGCGGAATCTTTTCAAACTGGAAGCGGCGGGCTTCGCTACGATGCCGGCCTGCCGCCGTCCTTCTGTGTGGGCGGTGATCCCTTCCGGCTTCATGAGGGTGTCTGCAATCAGCAGCTTGGTCACATCGACGATCATTTCGGACAGCCACCCGGGAGCACGATGACGTCAACACGCATGCCCACAAGGGTCCGCCTGTATGCTTTAAATCTGGGACCATCGCCTACCTGCTTCAGTGGACACGGTGGCATCGCCGTGACAATGACGCCTGACGTACCGCTGTTCATGCAGGTCCTTTGCGCGTGCCTACGCTTCATAACCGGAGGCGCCGCGGAATCTTTTCAAACTGGAAGCGACGAGCTTCGCTACGTTGCCGGCCTGCCGCCATCCTTCTGTGTGGGCGGTGATCCCTTCCGGCTTCATGAGGGTGTCTGCAATCAGCAGCTTGGTCACATCGACGATCATTTCGGACAGCCACCCGGGAGCACGATGACGTCAACACGCATGCCCACAAGGGTCCGCCTGTATGCTTTAAATCTGGGACCATCGCCTACCTGCTTCAGTGGACACGGTGGCATCGCCGTGACAATGACGCCTGACGTACCGCTGTTCATGCAGGTTGGTGACCGGAAGGATAGCTTCCGTAGCGATTCCATAGCTCTTATAGTGCTGCCGTGTCCACAAGTTTTGGCTGACTGTGTATGTGACTGTTTTTCTATTGTGGGTCTGTTGTTGAGTCTTTCTGGCGATGTCGAGCTGAATCCGGGGCCTATAACGGACGCCGTATGCAAAGAAATGCTCCAGAATCAAAAAGAAATTTTGTCTAAACTAACAGCGGTTCAAGAAAAGCAAAATTCGTTTGAAACTAGAATTCTAGACATGCAAAATCGGCTTCTTGTTATTGAGACTAAGGTGCAAAGCTTAGATGAGACTCGCAGCAGGCTCGCAACTCTTGAAACAATTGTGGCTGAATGTCGTGACAAATCATCTAGTCTGCTTGATCAGGTGGACGATTTGGAAAATCGTTCGAGAAGAAACAACCTTATCATAAGGGGAGTAGCAGAAGATGAGAATGAAAAAGAAGAAACTCTACTAAAAAAAGTAAACGAAGAAATCTTTAGCTCTACCCTAAAGGTAAACATAACGTCTATTGAGAGAATTCATAGGATAGGAAAAAAAAATTCTGGCAAAACTCGCCCCGTCATCCTTAGGCTGGCAGACTATAGGGATAAAATGAAAGTCTTGCAGAGGTGCTCAAGACTGAAGGATACGGGTTACAGTATCAGCGAGGACTTCTCGAAAAGAGTACAGGGAATAAGAAAAAAACTTTGGGACTCTGCTATCGAAGAAAGAAAGGCAGGAAAGAAGGTAAAACTTGTTTTTGATAAGCTGAAGGTAAACAATACTCTTTACTGCTGGAATGAAGCGCGTGCCGAAAGAAGCAAGCTTGGAAATGATGATGCAACACGTGATAAGTGACAGGCACAGGGACAGAAAGATAATTTTAAAATAATCAATTTAAATGCCCGAAGTGTATCAAATAAATCACATATGCTTGAAGCCTTGGTTATCGATCACGAACCTGATATTATTTTAATTACGGAAACATGGTTGCACGAAATTATACCTGATACTGAAATCGCTCCACCCGGTTACTCAATGGTTCGGAGGGATCGTGATGGAAGAGGGGGTGGAGTTGCTTTCTTAGTCAAGAAAGGCGTTAATTATAGTTCCCTGGACGCAGCAGATGGTATTGAGGCCGTATGGATTAAAACAAAACTAAATAATCGCACCGTGTTTATAGGTGGGGTCTACAGACCTCCAAATTCCCCTGTTGAGTACATTTTGCAACTAAGAAGATTCATGGACAGCCACTTTAGAGAAAAAGACAATATCATCTTACTAGGTGATTTCAATCTTCCGGCTATTGATTGGCATTCGCATGTGGCCGTCGACTCACATGATGCTTCTTGTGACTTATTTCTCGACTTAATATTCTCTTTCAATTTACATCAGGTTGTAAATGAGTTCACTAGAGTATGTGCAACACGGTCCTCTGTACTTGATTTAATTTTATTATCCAACGCTTTGACTTCATATGTGAATGATTGCCTTGTTGAAGAGGGTTTATCAGACCACAAGATGATTATACTGTCCATGAGCATGTCGTCGTGCACCTCACAGCAGAAATCGGGCATCACTTATCCGAACTTTCAAGCTGCCGATGATGTTAGTGTTTTGGATTTTCTTGAAAGGTCGTTTTGTAACTTCACCGCTATTTATGAATCAAATGGTAGCTCTAACTGCTTGTGGGAATATTTTCATAATATAACAATGGAATGCATTAGGCGGTTTATTCCTAAAAGTTTTAAAAAGTGTAAAAGAAATAACCCTTGGATCACGAGAGATATAATTCATGTCAAACGGAGGATTAAAAGGAAGAGAAAAGCTTGTTCTCGTGATCCAAGTGCCCAGAACAAGACTGCACTTCATAACATGAGGCTTGATCTAAATCGTCTTGTCAAGGAATCTAAGGAAAGATTTTTTAATGTAACATTGAAAAAATTTCTGTACGAAGCACCTAGCAAATTCTGGAGGTATGTAAACCCGTCCGAGCAACAGAATACACCGGTCGATGAAAAAATTGCCCTTGAACGCGCGGAAAATTTCAATTCTTTTTTTTCTTCTGTTTTCACCGAAGATGATGGTACCCTTCCGTCCCTTTCTGACGCTTCCAATCGCCCTCCGGTATCCGACCCGTTAATCAACGAAGAAGGAGTATTAAACCTTCTTCTACACATTGACATTAAGAAATCCGCTGGTCCAGACGGCATTCCGAACGAGTTTCTATATAGATATGCTCAATGGGTCGCAAAGTATCTTACTATAATCTTTCAAACTTCAATTAATCAAGCCTCATTTCCTGTAGCCTGGAAAGAAGCTAAATAATACCAGTTCACAAAAGTGGGAACACTTCAGAAGTGGGTAACTACAGGCCTATCTCTCTTACGAGTACCTGCTCCAAACTGCTTGAGCATATACTGTGTAAGCATCTCTCTAATTATTTAGACACTCACAATTTATTATCACCTGTGCAACACGGCTTTCGAAGGGGATTATCTACAGTAACGCAGCTTGTTGTTACAGTTCACGATTTTGCGCAGGCAATTAATCGACGGGAACAGATTGATCTAATATTCTTAGATTTCGCCAAAGCCTTCGATAAGGTCTCGCATCCCAAACTCTTACTAAAAGTAAATGAAATATTCAGAAACTCAAATATTACTCAGTGGTTCATTTCTTACCTCCATTCTCGTACACAGTACGTAGAAATAAATAAAATTAAATCGAAGTCCAGACCCGTTATATCCGGTGTGCCTCAAGGCAGTGTTCTGGGGCCTCTTTTATTTCTTATTTTTATAAATGACCTGCCCTCAGATCTGTCTGTTCCCGTGAGATTGTTTGCAGATGACTGCGTTATATATAACAAGATCACATCCCTGAGAGACCAGGTAGACCTGAACAACAACTTAAACAAAATTTTACTATGGTGTAATGAATGGCAGATGGTTCTAAACCCCGTAAAATCAATCAGTTTGCATGAGCATAACAAGAAAAAAGGTACCTCTCAAATATAATTACAATATTGGTTCCCACGATCTAAAAAGGGTAACAGAATATAAATATTTAGGGCTAATATTCACTCCAGATTTGAGGTGGAATACTCACGTAGACGTCACCTGTAGAAAGGCAAACAAAACTCTATGGGGTCTGAGGCGCAGGTTACATGACGCAACACCCGAAGTAAAAAGTCTTGCGTACAAAATGCTAGTACGCCCAATAATTGAATATTGTAAAATAGTATGGGACCCTCATACCACCACTAACCTACATAAACTGGAGAAAGTTCAAAGAATGGCTGCCAGGTTTATATTCAATAAATATCAACGTATGCACTCTGCTTCCGATCTTTGCAACCGTGCAAACCTACAAGCCTTAGAACTTAGAACTAAGTATGACCGTTTGAAATTCCTATTCCTCATTATTCGTAGTCAGGTTAAAATCAACTCATTAGATTTCTTTGAAATTTCTCCAGATCCGCGCTCTAGACACAAACACACTTTATATATACAGCCACCAGCCACCCGAAACGACGCATTTAAATACAGCTTCTTTCCGAGGGCAATTAAAGAATGGAATGAACTACCAAACAAAGTCGCGATGTCTTCCTCTATCACGGCGTTTTCTGCAGCTTTAGAATCGCTTATTTTCTCCGAAATAGATGCGTCATAATTCACGATGTCAATGTATATTGCCTCTCGCTTTGTTAATTGTTGTTTTCTATGCGCAGAATGCAAGTGCACATGCCTGTGTTTAACTTTGTCTTTTAGTGTAAATACCTGTGTTCGCTGTATGTCTCTATTTTGTAACGTATTTCATGACCATTTCTTTCATTTGTTTTCCACTCCTGTAAAAACCCCAGCTGGGGTTGACAGTATTAATAAACAAACAAACAAACAAACCACCAGCGCGGGTCCTTCTCTTTAAACTCCAGAAGGCGACACATGGCCAACTGCTCCTGTGCCACACCATTGAATGAAGAATTGAAGAATATTGCGGTGGTGGTCCAAGCAACGCACAGTTGAATACTGTCTTTTATTTTCCACCGGGACGTAGTCGAGGTGTGTAGTGGCCCTGTAAACATAATGAGCTGTCAAAAAAGTTATAGGCAAATGGGGCTTTTTGTTTGTAGGACTGCTATATACACACAAAGTGAACCATTGTTTAGTTACAAAGAATGGGACATGCTTTGACGGTCCCAGCGAGAACGATCCCGTCTGTACAACGTGAAGGCGTTCGATACGAGCAGTGAAGCTGTGAGCACGAGTTTTCATGCACATTCAAATAGATATATGAACTGAAACACCAAACTAACTACGCACGTGCTTTCATTCTTGATTTTCGTGACATACTTTTCTTCTACAGCTGACATTACAACGTCTATCGGCCGTTCGCACACAATATGCACTTGCATCTTTTAATTTGTCTGTAGTTTTTGCAGGCCTTGCATTCGGCAGCTCAATATTTTCAGGGGCACAAGAAATAACCACTAAAGAGAGAGGAAGGCAAAGCAAGAAGGTCAAGCAGATTGTAGCTTGTTTCTATATTACACTGAGAAATGCGCAGTTTAAATAAAGTATTGAGTAGGGAAAAGGAAAGAGAGGGCCAGTAATACAATTGGGCGTGTAGCAGAGTCATCCGCTCATACTCAGAAGGTCCTAATACTGACAGAGGAAGAACTGACACAGAGGTCGACATCGACTGTCTTAGATGAACTAGACTGCAAACTATAATGCTAAAGAAGACCTGCTGCAAGGACTTCCTCTAAGAACTGCACTGCGCTTCGAGCTGATGGGGTTGTCATTCCGGTACGCGCAAGAGTGTGCGCATTATGCTTATGAGGGACCTCAACGCAGCGGTGACATGTAAATCTTCGTCGCGGAGATCATTAGTAGAATAGTGTGCCGTCTCTCTATGAACGCGTGGTGTTGATAATGACGGCCACGAGACATCCGCCACAGCTTCAATCGACTTTGCGTCTTTTTGGCTTTCCCATAGTTACGCGCTGGCTGGCGATGTTTGTGGTGGTGGTTTCGGCAGTGGTACTCTAGCTATCGGCAGAATGGAGTATAGTGGTACGCGGGATTGCGACATAGCGTGATGGTTCAGCTTGGGCAGCAGTATTCCTAGAACTCTGTCGGGGACCGACAGGTCCTTTATCTGAAAATATCAGCAGCTTCTTTGTGTGTTCAGCCATATCTTACTGTCTATTTCATCCGACTCCATATTTTGCCTGCATATGCTGGTTTTGGGACGTTAAACCCCACATATTATTCATATTTTGTCCACTAGTAGACAGTGTCTTGATGAAGCTTCATGCGCTCCGCGACGGTACGATAGTATGCCTACGCGAAAGCTATCGTATTTTATGCCCATGCTTTTGAAAGTAGGATTGCATCTCTCGGGTCAGGCTTGTGCGTTATGAAAAATAAGACGAGATGGTGAAGGTGGGCTAAGATAGTAAGAAACAATAATATTCATTTATTGTGGAGTTAAGGTTATTGCGACTGCAGAAGAAGTGAAACTATCTCACTTGCGGCGCATTTTTCCTACTCACGGGGCGCGGTAGTACGTACATGCAGTCTTCACGGCGTCTGTGGAGAAGCCAGCCTCAGCGTTAATTCCCCAAGGCTTTGAAAGGGAGCGTTGTTGGGACGTGACTGCTAACTAGCCTGTCACTGCCAGCGTAGGGTAACTCCTCCCCCTTTTGACCCCCTCCTTGACACGCACACTTATTAACTCTCCCTGCCGCCCTCCCGCCCCCACTTTTTATTTCTCTCTCAATGTACTGCTGCTGATTCTGTTGAGCTGTCAAGACTATGCGAAGCTCAGAATACCCTAGGGAGTATTGTCGCTTCAGGAGCGCCAAATAACAAGTGCTACCTTGGTGAATTCGTGTCTCCCTGTATACCCGGGAGGATGCTACCAGTTGACTCTTGCATTTTTCCTTTTAAGCGCCCGACAGGGTGGTTGCTTTGCTTAGAGCAACGACGCTTGGGAGGAACCAAAGCGCGGTTCATCGTCAAAGCCCTAATGGCCCCCACCGACGTCCCTGGAGACGTGGCTGATGCAAAAGGGAACATTTAAAACACCGGGCAACCGCTATAACGAGCCGAAGATATCGTCATTAGGTTTCCGAACGGCTGGGGTTCCCGTCCTCGTTTCACACGTTGTGCTGTTTCCGTTTCATTAAGACGTACAGGATGCTGTTGCCAAACTTCTCTCGATGGTATGCGCTTAGACACAGAAAATATTTAGGATTTGCTGCGTCCAGCATGGCATCACTATCTGCTTGCTTCGCTCGGTTGCTGAGGTGTTTAATTAGAATGTCCACCAACGGTGATATTATCAGTAATATCGCATACGTGAGAATGTCTGAGCTACTTTCAACCGAAGCCAGAAGCCAAAGGTATCGAATTCATCATTGAATCTCTTAAGGTTACTGCTTCGTCTCGTATTGAGCGTTGCAGATTCATTCAGTTGCATAGTTGTTTTGTTATTGCTGTTGTTGTCTTTGTTCTGTTTTGTTTTGTTTTGTTCTTTTTTTTTCATTTTTAAGTATTTCGTCC